TTTTAAATTTGGGCATTTGACAAACAACAACACGAGGCATGATATCAACGTGACCATAAAAGAGTCATAAAAATGTGACCAAACACACACATACGGTTTCTCTTTGGGTCATTTGTACGTTATGTCCTCTCCACACACACCCCATATTTGAATTTATCGTGAACCTATTTTCATACAGCATTTCCATATTGTTTAGTTTCTTGCCCCTGTAAGTGAAGTATAATATTTAATGTTGGTTAGAATGTGTGCTTGATTTAAACATAGTACACTTCCTTTTACATACAGAAAAAAACAACAGAACGGCTGCTTCTTATAGTCATGGGTGAATTTGACTCCCCAATGTAAACGTTTCTAATCAGTGGACTGGCTCAACAGCTGTGGCTCAGAATGACCTTCTTGTATAACCTTGCCATGCAGGTTTATCTCAATTTAAGTAAGTATTTGCATTCACAGAAGATTAGCGTGCATGACAACACAAGGAATTCTGTTCAGTCCAGTCCATATCATATACATTGCACAAAATGACTACTCAATTCACAGTGCTGATTGTCTAAATGTGAACAAGCAGCAGTGACTCTAAACTCCAGTTTAGACTCTACCTTGTTTGAGAATATACAACTGCATTCAGTTGTTCTCCTTCCCCAGATTGACCCAACACTGTTTAAAAGATATTAGTTATTCCTTTTCATTACTGCCTTTCAGCCGACTAGCACTTTGTTCACATTAGGACAATAAACAAGCAATCAAGACGGACGAGGCGGGCAGTGGGGGAAGATGGAACATATCGTGAAACATTTTTCAGACGTTCAGGTTTAGATATGGGAAGGGGCTAATTCCGTCCTTAGGATTAGGAAAGAGAGGAAGTAGACCAGCCACACACTCCTGGGTGGTACATGGTTGACACTGGTTGAAAGGGGGCTGTATTCTGCATTTGTAAAGGTTTCAGCACTGAGTTTTTGATCCCTTTGGCGGAATCTCAGCATGTATAGTCCCCTGGGGATAGGAGGCTCAAGGCGCTTTATCATTGGGCTGAACACTTACAGAAGGTGTATTTGACAAAGTGGACTGTTGCTCTTGTTAGCGTCAACTGTTGATCTCTCTACTGGATTTTCCACTCTCTGCGGCCAGCATTGTAGTGATTTTCAGTTGGCCACAAAGTCCTGGCACTGTAGCAGCATGGGGTTGAGCTGCTTACACAATAGTACTGTTGTGCAAGCAGAGGCTGGAGTCTCTTTGTGAAGTTCACTATAGGTGCAACAGTAGTGTGATCCCCTAAGGGATGTGATGGCACTGTGGGTTAAACCGCAGAAGCCTCTGTGCTGCAAGGTCAGAAGACCAGCCGTCGTAAGATCGAATCCACGTGACAGAGTGAGCTCCCGTCGCTCGTCCCAGCTCCTGCCAACTTAGCCGTTCGAAAGCATGTAAAAATGTGAGTAGATAAATAGGTACCACCATGGTGGGAAGGTCACGGCATTCCGTATCTAGTTGTGCTGGCCATATGACCACGGAATCTGTCTTCGGACAAACGCTGGCTCTACGGTTTGGAGACGGGGATGAGCACCGCGCCCTAGAGTCGGACAAGACTGGACTAAATTTCAAGGGGAATCTTTACCTTGTGTGATCCCACATTGCTACACTGGCAGGATTTTCTGCTCAACAGAAGCTCAACATCATACTGGTCAATGTATCCAGTGACAGTCTCTCTCTCTCCCCTTCCTCAACTTAAAATTAGTTTTGGGAGTGTGTGGTCTCTGGAATGCCTCGAAACAAGTCAAAATTCCCTCCAACATCGCACAGAGGGCAGAAGACTAAGAGGAGAGATGATGGCCCTTTTCAATTACTTCAGATATATACAGAGGAGGAGCAGGAGTTAAAGGCAGCCAGATTTCAGTTGAATATCAGGAAAAGCTTCCTAACTGTTAGAGCAGTATGACAGTGGAATCAATTACCACAAGAGGTGGTGAATGCTCCAACACTGGAGGTATTCAAGAGAAACTTAGCAACCCCCTAGCAGATCTCCTTTGATTTGTGTTCCTGCCTTGAGCGGGGGTTGGACTTGATTACCTTACAGGCTCCTTCCAACTTCACTGTTCTATGATTCTCCTTTTTTTTTTTTTGGCATTTGGTAGGTGGAAATTGCTGAAGTGTCCTGTCTGTGCTTCTGGCAATGCTTCCCATTAAGTTGCACTTGCCCTGCCCTGGTGTAGAGAGAGAGCATGCTGCCCTTGAAAAACCAATACTGTATGAGCAATCCTTTCCTTTTAAAAAAAGGGAACAATTTCTTACTATTTCAGTTCTCAAGAGTCCTTGTTTCCACTGTGATGGAAAAAAACACACACTGGTCTTCTATTCCTGTGAAATATATATATATGGACAATGAATGGACAATAGGCTTTCTCAACTCTATATAGCCTTGAGAAAACCTATTGTCCATTCTGCAGCTAAGTTAAAATAGAGGAACACAGACAAGCAAAAGCAGACAGCCAGCTAAAGGAAGAGGAACACCGTTGTTTTGTTTTAATGTCTGCAATTTGGGATGATATACCAAACGAACTCCCAGAAGTACAAGCTGGATTTCGAAGGGGCAGAGAAACTAGAGACCAAATTGCTAACATGTGCTGGATTATGGAGAAAGCTAGAGTTCTAGAAAAACATCTACTTCTGCTTCATTGACTACGCAGAAGCCTTTGACTGTGTCGACCACAACAAACTATGGCAAATCCTTAAAGAAATGGGAGGGCCTGACCACTTTATCTGTCTCCTGAGAAATCTGTATGCAGGACATGAAGCAACAGTTAGAACTGGATATGGAACAACTGATTGGTTCAAAATTGGGAAAGGAGTACGGCAAGGCTGTATATTGTCCCCCGGATTATTTATTTAATTAATTAATTTATTCTATTTATATCCCGCCTATCTGGTCAATTACGACCAGATAAGCGGGATATATATGCAGAATACATCATGTGAAAGGCAGAACTGGATAAATCCCAAACCAGAATTAAGATTGCTGGAAGAAATATCAACAACCTCCAATATGCAGATGATATCACTCTGATGGCAGAAAGTGGGAAGGAATTAAAGAACCTCTTATTGAGGGTGAAAGAGCACCAAAAATTGTCTGAAGCTCAACATCAAAAAGCAAGATCATGGCCACTGGCCCCATCACCTCCTGAGAAATAGAAAGGGAAGAGATGGAAGCAGTGAGATTTTACTTTCTTGGGCTCCATGATCACTGCAGATGGGGACAGCAGCCATGAAATTAAAAGACGTCTGCTTCGTGGGAGAAAAGCAATAACAAACCTCAACAGCATCTTAAAAAGCAGAGACATCACCTTGCCAACAAAAGTCCGAATAGTCAAAGCTATGGTTTTTCCTGTAGTGTTGTATGGAAGTGAGAGCTGGACCATAAAGAAAGCTGACCGCCGAAGAATTGATGCCTTTGAATTGTGGTGCTGGAGGAGACTCTTGAGAATCCCCTGGACTGCAAGGAGATCAAACCTATTCGTTCTGAAGGAAATCAACCCTGAGTGCTCACTGGAAGGACAGATCCTGAAGCTGAGGCTCCAATATTTTGGCCATCTCATGAGAAGAAAAGTCCTGGGAAAAAACTTAATGTTGGGAAAGAGTGAAGGCAAGAGGCGAAGGGGACCACAGAGGACGAGACGGTTGGACAGGGTCACCGAAGCGACCAACATGAAACTGACAGAACTCCGGGAGGCAGTAGAAGATAGGAGGGCCTGGCGTGCTTTGGTCCATGGGGTCACGAAGAGTCAGGACACAACTGAGCAACTAAACAGCAAAAACCAAAGGAACAATATATGGTTGAGAATACTGTATATTGGAGCAGGGGCAGGCTTGGTCAGGTACAATGGTGTCCATAATAGCGGCAATGTAGTTATGGGCTGTACTTCTAGGATGCAGACCAAGCCCTAGAAAACTGCCTGTTCTTGCAGCATTTGCTAACACTTGGTTTCATATGAACAAGAAGGGGGAGGGGGGGCGAGAAAGATAATTCCTCGTCCCACAGTCAGGAGTTGGCTCTTCAACTCGCTGAAGTTGCACAATTGAGAGCAAGCCCCACAGCAGCGCCTGGGGGATGATTTATTTTAAGCAACAGATGATGGCTAAAAAAAGGTTCTTCGGGAGAGGAGCATGCCAACTCTGCAGGGCTGGTGGGAAGAATGCTGGAAACAATGGGAACAGCTTTGAAAACACGGAACGGCTGTGCACGAGTCGCTGCCACCATTTCAATTAACATGAATGAAGAATAAATAGCTTCAGGGATCCTGCTTAACTTCCACATGATGCTGCACAGGTCAACCAAACTTCCCACCGCAACTGCCCGCCTTCTCAGGCCGATCAGCCTACTTTGCTGCTCTTCTTCAAGAGAAAGGCTGGGCAAGAACGCCCCCGCCCCGTCCGGGGAGTTCTCATTGGGCATTGTCCCCGCCACTCCATGACCCAGAGGCGAGTGAAGGGAGAGCTTATCCAATCGGAGAGGCGCTAGCGTTGGATGGACGCGCGGCAGCAGGACTCCGGGATGGTTCGGGTCCTAAAGCCGCCCATCTCACACCAAGGGCGAGGTTCTGTGTGGGGCGGGGGGGCGACGGGCATGAGGGGGCCCTTGGGGTCCTCAGAAAAAGTGGGCGTCTACGCTTCTGCCTGCCACCCTATCCCCCCGAAGGGAAAATTTTTTGGGGGGTGTCCCTCATTTTGTCCCCCCAGACATAATGAGAGCCAGAGCCAGACCCCCCCCACAAAAAAGAGGGGGGGTGTCGTCGTTTTCCCCTCAAGTTTCCCCCTCAAGTGAAAGGGGGGGGCCGTGACCCTCCTTTGTGGGGAGCTTATTTGCAACCCCGTGTTGTGACTTATTTTGATGGGTGGGGAAAGATGTTTTTTATATATATACTTTTTGTGGGGCAGGAGGTTCCCCCTCCTTTAAAAAGGGAGGGGAGATTAGGGAGGGGCGGGGGGCTGCTGTGCTCCTGCCTCAGACCCATGGGGTGGGTGGGTGATGCTGCTCTTGCCCCCCCTTCCCTGGTGAGGGAGGGTCTCACCTCCTTGGAAAGGAGAGGTAAAGGATGCTCCCCCCTTTCCCCAGTTTTTTTTCCAGTTTGCAAAGAAAGTGGGGCTGGGCTGGGGGGCTGGGGAGACGCCTTCTCCCCTGCCTGCCCAAGGGGGTTGACTTGGGGCCACCTTCTGGGCCAGGCCTCCTGCCCCACAGGTTTAGGGTCCCAGAGGCTTGTGTTTCCTGGAGATCTTGAGGGTTGTGAAGAGAGATATTGGGGGGGGGGGGGCGAGGAGGGAGCCCACCCCCTAATGCTCCTTTTAGGATGGGGTGCTCTCTCCAGACCCAGTACACCCTTTTCTCCCTGGGGTCCCTGAGACTCATCAGCCCCATTTGCCCTTAATTTGGGAGCAAGGGAGACCAGGGACAAAATTCCCTCTTCGCCCTTTGTTTGTGAGCAGAGTCATTTTATTAAAAAAAAAAGTTTCATACTGGAAGCTTTCTGACTCTCCCTTCATGTTGCCCACAAAAGCTTGATTTTTTTTTTAGTGGCTCCAGGGAGGTTGCACCCCACTTCTTGCATTTTCTGAATTATCTTTGATATGTTTCTTTTTTTTTTCCCCCTAGTAGGTTCCCCCAACTTTTATTAGCTCTGGAGGGGAGGAGAAAGACTTTCCGTTTAGGAAGCTCCTCCTTCCTGCATTGAGACAGACCTCCTTGTTTCTTCCTTCTAGGTAAGCCTCAGAGCAGCTGTCTTCATATCCTTTCTTCTTCCATTTTTAGAGGGGATGGCATAAGACCCGGCTCCCCTAAATAGATCGTCCTGTTTGGGAAGAGGACCCCGGGAGCCCTTCCTGCACCTCGTCTTCTCCTCTTGGCTTCTGTGATCTTGCTATGGGAGAGGTGCTGCCTTCTGCCGTCCTGGAACTCTGTGTCTTGGTTGGAGTCCCCCGAGAGAAGGCGAAAGAAGTTTACCAGGTAAACAGGGTGGGTGGGTGAGATGATCCTCTCTCTCTCTCTCTCTCTTTTTTTTGCAGGGCTAGGGTTATTAACAATAGAAGACAAACAGGAAAAAGATAACTGAGAGGACCTGTTGGACAGATGTCTCCTAGTTTTCATTCATCCCCAGATCCGTTTGAACCATCGTAGTCACATTTTCCTGCAATCTGATTGTGTAGAGGTATTAATGTAGTGTTTCGCCCTGAGGCTGGAAAGGAAAACAAGACGCGCTTCCACATAATTTATTTATTATTTCATAATAAATTACAGGAGCTTAGAAAGCTCTCTTCTGTTTCAGTTTGTTCCTTCCCGTTTTATTTTATAAAGTTCAGCCTTGAAGGTTGTGAACGGTTTTAAGGGTTAATTGCCTTGTGTGTTGTGAGTGAGTTGTTCTTACAGAAAGAACAAGTTGTGAAATAAGAGAGGTGCCACTTCCTTGGAAGTGGGCACGTCACCAACTTGAAATATCTTACTCGTCAAGCTGATATAATACATATTTTCCTATTTCCTGGGAAACTGTCTCCAGTGTGGGCACCTTGAGCAGAATCTGTGAATAACTATCTTCCTGTTCAGTTGCTTCAGTTTTCTGCAATCTCTGTGTAAATCCTTCTTTCTAAGGTTTGGAGTTTGGGGGGGGGATGGGGCACTGCAGGAGAATGAACAGGAAATGTCTACAGAATAGATGTGACATTAATCTTTTTTTCATGACTATTGTGTGTGCAGTGTCAAACTCCAGCACCAACAGGAGTTAAACTAATAAACCACATTACTGTGGCAGTTTTGTATTACAAGTGACATATTGCAATAGTAGTGGGCAGAAACTCATATTCCCTTGACTGTGCATTAATTAAATAAACTGGACATAACTTAATGTACTTTGCTGATGTTATTTTGTTTTGCTAGCTACTCTTTATACTTGTTCAATCCTTTTGATGGTTCTAGTAATGCTTTTCTTTGTTATGTATTGAAAGTTCTTACCGTTTTGTACTGAAAGGAGATACTCATTCACATCATAGAAAAATAATGAATAAATTAGTTGTTAGTAGTCATATTGTTCTCTACATGCTTACACTATGTTCAGCTATGAATGAGTCCAATATCATGCAGAATTCATAGACAAACGTATAGGTTGTAGCTGTGTGTAGCAGGTATGCTTTGAGTCATAGAATTCAGTTGGAAGGGGTTTAGAGGTTGTCATTTTGGAATATGTTGGTATTCATTTGTTTATTTAAAATATTTTTACACCACCTTTCTCCTTAAAAGGAGTCAAGGCAGCCTATGTGGAATAACATGGCAGAGTGGTATCCCCTTTCCCCGATGTACTGTACTCTAGAAGTTTTGTACTGCAGTACCTATGAGTCCTAGTGAACACAGCCAGCTCTGAGAGATTATGGAGCTGAAGTATAATGCCATCCTTTTAGAAACACATTCTAACCTACCTTTCTAACTGGCTTCCTTTTTTTCAGTGAGATGTGCTTGCAAGCCATAACCTTTCAAATTACTGTAATGTGCTCATTTCACTTTCCATTTTCTTGTTTTGTTGGATAAGTCAGTGATGGAGAACATGTATTTGCTTATTTTTATACCTTATGTTTCTGTTAACAAAGGCACATAAGCCTGTAACCCTGCAGAGGGTTACGGATCTAATGCCTGAAGTATTGGATAAAACCTCTGCTCCAACCATGAGAAGGCATTGTAGTCAGAGTAGATTATATGAGGCTAGATGCATAATTGCTGTAACCATGTATAATGCAACTTTCTGCATTTCTAAACAGATAAAACATTAATATGTACAGTATTTAGATTTTTATCAAATGGCTGAAATCCAATTGAAAAATTACATGAGTGTCACTCCACTGGTGGAAATTTTGGTTGCAGATTCCAGCAAGTTTCTTTTTCTTAGAACTGCAGAGCTGGAAGGGACCCTCTGCATCACCAAGTCCCAACCTCTGGCTCCACAGCTGGAGACCTCAACCATTGAGCTATCCAACAGTTTTAAAGCTGGTGTGGGCAAACTTAAGTTCTCAACTTGTGGTTTTGCTGTTGGCATTTGAACCATTGGACTTAAGATGGCAGATGTGACAAGAACCAAAGAGCCCAAAACAACGCGCAACAACCACGTAACAAGAACCCTCACCTAGTTTACCTGGTAACCTCAGAAATAAACTCATTGTCTGAAAGAAGGCAAGAGGACAGCCAGTCAAGAAGAGCCTGCAGGATATAAACATGGAGATCAGGAGAGTTAAAAAAGAAGAAGAAAAGAGTTAAATTATCTCCCAAGGAGGGAGGTGGGAAGTTAGGAGAGAGAGAAAATGAGAGTTAAATTCTATCTAGAGGAGGGAAGTCATGTTTAAGACTGGGGGCTGTAACTTCGGACAGTTGCTTTGTATCTGGAATGTTTGAGAGCTAGCATGCAATGGAGTGGAACCTTAATTTGAACTTTGTTTAGTTTCACCAGTTGTTGTTATGTTTAAATAAAGATCATATTTTTATGTTTCAATCTTAAAACTGCTTTTGCTCCTATATTTTGGGCTTCAGTGAAAGTAAGTGAAACTAAGGGCAGTTTAAAGGTGAGTCACCAGGTAGAGGTGGCCACAGCAGGGATAATAAGGTCAATAGATAGTATTGTAAGATCTGTGGCATTGTCAAATGTGAGGAAAAATGTTTCTTGTTGTGCATTTTGCATGGTTTATTATTATCAAGAAGTGGAATGATTGACTGGTTTTCAAATTGTTTTCATGTTCAGAAGAATGTTCATAGCATATGTTTCAGCATTAAACATATCAGATATCCTAGTAGCCTGTAATATTCCCCCCCCCCAACAATGTTAAGGGCATAAAATAGTAATCAAGTAATTCCTGAATACGACTTTCTTGTTTGCTGTTAATCAGTATGATTAATTCCCCCCTCTGTTGATTTGCATTTCTGTAGCTATTTTCAACAGAGAATTATAAGACTTCTTTTTGGGACACAGCTACATGAATTATTTTTCAAAATTTGTGTTCTATTTTATGAAGGATATTTTGGGAAGTCAGAAAAGAAACACAAATTGTGATGAAATCAGTAAGAAAGCACTTTGTATTTGGAAAGAGGATAGAATGTTGGATTACACTCAGATTCAGGTATTCAGTCCAACCCGATGGTCCTGAGAAATGTGTAACCACTTAGTGAAATTGTGGGATTTAGTGCCAGAAAATGTAGTGATGCCTGTCAGCATGGATGGCTTTAAAAGCCTGAATATGACTTTCTTGTTTGCTGTTAATCAGTATGATTAATTCCCCCCTCTGTTGATTTGTATTTCTGTAGCTATTTTCAACAGAGAATTATAAAACTTCTTTTTGGGACACAGCTACATGAATTATTTTTCAAAATTTGTGTTCTATTTTATGAAGCATATTTTGGGAAGTCAGAAAAGAAACACAAATTGTGATGAAATCAGTAAGAAAGCACTTTGTATTTGGAAAGAGGATAGAATGTTGGATTACACTCAGATTCAGGTATTCAGTCCAATCCGATGGTCCTGAGAAATGTATAAGCACTTAGTGAAACCGTGGGATTTAGTGTCACAAAATTTAGTGATGCCTGTCAGCATGGATGGCTCTAAAAGGGAGTTAGATACATTTCTGGATGTTGGGGCCACTGATGGCTACTAGTCAGAATATCTCTATACTCTTTCAAGTATCAGAGATGGTGTGTTATTATAGGACACTTCCTGGGGTATCGATGTGGGAGAGGGCTCTTGCACTCTAGTCCTGATGATGGATTCTCCATAGGCAGCTGGGTGACCCCTTAGAGAAATAGAACGTTGAACTGGCTTGACCTTTAGTCTGCCTCTACCCCAGCATGACTCTTCTTGTGCTCTTACACCTTTATGTTCTTAACCTGTCTTGTCTGTCTTTTCTCTCCATGTTCTATAGCAAAGTGACTTTGAACATGGGGATTCCATGTAGTTGATAACTCAGACCCATTGGGACACCGACTCTGTGCACATTCATCTAATGCCCCCTTAAAACAATCATAGCCAAGAAATATCACTGCATTTTGTGGCAATTTTGTAAATAAATTGTGTGAAGAAGTTACTTAATTCTGTGGTGTGTGTGTTTTTTTTAAAGGCAGACTGTAATCTGATATGCCGACAGACTGTAGGAACAGTAGTGGATGTGTGAACAGGTTGTAGGAGTATGTTAAAGGCAGTTGAACTCTGAGTGAGCAGTCTAGTAGTTCGAGTTTTCATTAGGCGAAGGCGTCAAACTATGAGCAGAGTAGATCTGGACACACGTTTTTTTCTAGTGTTAAGGGAAATGAGTGCTAAATGCCTTGCATGTTAGAAGGCTTCTATATTGATACAAGCAAGAGCTTCTATGACTACCAGCAAATGAGACATGAAGTACAAGCTGTTCAGAATTTATACTAGTCACATGTTGGAGGTCCAGATGTGACTGTAGAAAGTAAGTGTGGTGATAATTAGTCAGGAATATTCTCTTTAATGGTAAAATTCTTGTAGCCCTGTTTTCAGTGTCTGCTGTATTTTTCCTATAAAGAATTTGTGCTTATGATGATGATGTGAAAGCACTCTGACAAGGTCAACAGTTGTGAAACAAGCAGAGCTTCCTGTTACAGTACTTATAAAAAACACTGGTGCTAGAAAAATTGCAACATGAAAGAATAACAAAGGAGAAATTCTTCATGCAACAATAATGCAGGCCAGTTTCCTTCCTATCATGAGGAAAAATGTTATTTTTGTCTTGGCAGTTTTTTATTTGAACTGGCCTGTCTAGATCTAGTTTTAAATTTCGTACCGTATAAAGGTAAAGGTTCCCCTTGACATTTAGTCCAGTCGTGTCCAACTCTAGGGGCGGTCCTCATCCCCGTTTCCAAGCTGTAGAGCCAGCGCTTGTCCATAGACCATTTCCATGGTCACGTTGCCAGCGCGACTAGACATGGAATGCCATTACCTTCCCACCAAGGTGGTACCTATTTATCTACTCACATTTCACATGCTTTTGAATGGCTAGGTTGGCAGGAGCTGGGACAACCAATGGGGGCTCACTCTTTGCAGCCTAGAGGCTTTGTGGTTTAACCCGCAGAGTTGTAAATCCCAAGATTGAAAACCTGAATTGGTTGAAAAGGAACACATTGAATGTCATTGATAAACCAGTGATAATGCCTCCACAACGTCTGGACAGGTATATTTTTGCAAATACCATGAAATAAATATTTTGGTGATTTTTTCAACTGTTACTAGGACCCATGTCTATTTTTGGATAATTTTGAGGGGGTCCACGACAAGGCAGCAATCCATGAATCCAATCGACTGTTACTAGGACCCATGTCTATTTCTGGATAATTTTTGAGGGCTTTTTTTCCAATTATGAAATCCTTCCCAGGGTGGAAGGAATGGAAAACTGGCAGAGAAAATATAAAGAAGACCAGAAATAACGCAGTGGACTTTTACTCCTTGTTAACTGCTCCTGGCTTTAATTTTAATCCATCAGACAGTGATTGGCTATGGTTAGAAAATTGATTCATATCTTTGTTTACTTGGAAGTAAATTCTATGTGCTTAGAATTTATTACCAGATTTATAGTTTGATTGGAATTCAGCATAAAATGTTCTATATGTAAAAAACTGAAGGTAACATCTAGATACAGGAAGTAATTCTGAATATTCAGCAATGTCGGTAACGTTCTTTCTAAAATTTAAATACTGTACTGACTGGCAAAGTATAGCATGAGATATAAATTGGTGCAGAATAATAATAAAATTGTTTACACATTATCTGTCATTTCGGGTACAAAATGTCGATTTAATTGTTTTAATTGTTCCTAGGTTGCTCGGAAGACAGACGCGAGAAGCGTTCCTCAGCTGGAACCAGAAGTTCTTTCTGTTTTTGTGCCTCCATTTATCAGCAAGGAGGAATTAAAAGCAACAAATATCAATAATAATGCTTTCAGAAAAACAAATCGCCGTTCCTTTCGAAGAAAGAAAGAGAAATCGAAGATTGAAAATACAAGGACTTCAAATGGAGCCCAGAATCCTCCTGAGACTGAAGATGTTACTGTCCCTAAGGATGTTGACCTTAATGGATTGCCACAGCTTTGTTTTCCAGGTGTTGTGTTCCCCCTTTATTTTAAAACTGTGTTTTGGGTTGTGTAATTCCGGGGTCCCCAACCCCCATTCCGCAGTCCGCCACCGGGCCATGACCTTGGCAGGACCAGGCTGTAAAGACAGATCTCCCGCCCCTGCACGCACGCCCACGTCCCCCACGCACGCACCCCACATACATGTATGGACTCACACACGCCCTGCTCATGCATGCACGGCCACAGATCTCCCGCCCCCTGCACACACACCCACGTCCCCCACGCACGCACCCCGCATATATGTATGGACTCACACGCGCCCTGCTCATGCATGCACGGCTTATGTAACATCCCCATACATGCAAAATTCTGTAACAGGAGCTGGTCGTAACTCGAATTGGTCGCATGTCAAGACGTTCATAGGGACGTAGTGGCACTGCAGATTAAACAGCAGCAGCCTCTGTGCTGGAAGGTCAGAAGACTTGCAGTCGTAAGATCGAATCCACACGGAGTGAGCTCCCGTCGCTTGTCCCAGCTCCTGCCAACCTAGCAGTTCGAAAACATGTAAAAATATGAGTCGATAAATAGGTACTACCTTGGTGGGAAGGTAACAGCATTCCGTGTCTAGTCACGCTGGCCACGTGACCACGGAAACTGTCTTCGGACAAACGCTGGCTGTATGGCTTGGAAAAAAGGATGAGAACTGCGTCCTAGAGTCGGATATGACTGGACTAAATGTCAAGGGGAACCCTTACCTTTACCAAGACGTGTATAAGTCGAGGCACCACTTTACTCAAAATTGTCACAGGCTTTGAGAGCTTGATTTTGTCAGCTCTCCTGATTTTCTTCATAGGTTAGTTTTCAGGGTGTATAAATACATATTTGTGCTATAATGGGAGTTGCCACCTTCTATTAGCAATATGTCGTGCAATGTTTGTTTTGATGCAGGAGGATTTTACATAACGTCTGAATCTAGGGAGGACCAATTTCATTTTCTTGTTTTCACTGATGTCTGTGGTAACAGAACATACGGCGTTGTTGCACATTATTACCAGCCTATGCAGGTATGTTTTCCCCTGCTCTACTCCTGAAGCTAATTTCAATGTAAAGTAGTTTATTGATAAATGTTAACTAATTGCTGTAATTTTCTAGGATCTGTATTTTTGTTATGGTTTTCAGTTTCAAAGCCTATCACTCTGAAGAAGATGACAAAATAGCTAGAGCAAGTGTAGAAAACAGTGCCTCTTGTCAACACAGAGAACCTGTTCTTAACCTGAGGATACGTACCGTGTTTCCCTAAAAATAGCACAGGGTCTTATGTTAATTTTTGCTCCCAAAAATGCATTAGGGCTCATTTTCAGGGGATGTTTTATTTTTTTCATGTGCAGCCATCTACATTTATTCAAACACAGTCCTGTCATCTTTGTCTGGTTGCTGTACAGGGGTGGATGGTGAGGTTTCACTTAACTGGGGCTTATTTTTTGGGGTAGGGCTTACATGACGAGCATCCTGAAAAATCCTACTGGGGCTTATTTTCAGGTTAGGTCTTATTTTCGGGGAAACAGGGTACTCCCGTTAGCCAAAGATCTGAAAGACTGCTATTGTTGTTCACTGCTTACTGTGTACAGTTGTGCATCCAAAATTGATCATAGGTGTTTCCTAAAGGACAATTTTAAACTTTGTATTCTGTAAATGTATTACAATTTCTGTGTTTCCTCACTGGGAATTCTTGGCAAATAATTGAAGCAATATGCTGTTTTCTTGCAGGATGGGCACATCACTTCCAATGGGCAGGTCCATTGGGAAGCTGTGCAGACCCTTAGAGCCACTCCATATTTCGTACCATTTGCTGTCTGTGTCATATCCAGATATCCTTACTATAGTGCTCTCAAAGACTGTCTGTCTTGGTAAGAACTGTAGTTTATGCTACATAGGGTTCGTCTAGCTTGTGTTCGTCTAGCTTTTGTGTGTGCATGCAATTGTAGGAACTCTCTGCATATGTGGTTGTATATAATATAGCAGAAGTTTGTACTGACATTTATAATGTTTGGAGGCAGAGGAAGCAAAATCATCCTCAGGTGTTATGTAGATAATGCTGCAGGTATTTACTGCAGATTGTTTCTAAATCTGGAGTCTCTTTGAGACACCTCTCAGCAGGAGAAAGGCAGTCTACAAAGGAGGCAAAATAAATAAAATAAATAAATCAGTACGTAGAAGAAAGAATTTCTGTTTGACTCATTCTGAGCCAGTTGCCTAAAGGACAAGAACTCTTGCAGCAGATTTCTTCAATCGGAATGGGGAGCGGGGGAGAGGAGAATAATTGTATTCAGTATGTAGACTGAAATCCTGTTATCTAGCATAGTAAGTTGCAAGTAGACTAGATCCATCTGAATCTATGGGTCTTATGAAGGAGCTGACTTACCAACTCCCTACTGATTCTATGGGCCTAGTGCAACCTCCTACATTAAGCAACAGTATTTTAGCAATAGTCTGTGTAGTGGTGGAAATATAGTTTTTCTGAAATACAGTTGCATATTACTGGTTGCCTTGTACTGTAAAATATCCAACTTCTAAATTTTTTAAGTTGTAGATTCCGCAGACTATAGCTAGTGCATGAGCCTACAAGTGTAAGGCTGAAAAACTGGTTTAAACTTGGCTCCATGAATTGGCAAAGCTCTGGAGGGAGTTTCTGGAAAGGAAATTTCTGGAATCTTAGATATTTATTTGTTTATTTACAAAATGTATTAGAATTTAATCATACAAAATCAAACTGAGACACAGACAGAAAAAAGTGATACAATGAAGTAGTAGTTAAATACAGGAGATAAATGTTTGGAAGGAATGAGGATTCTCTTAAAAAGTAATGTTGGTCTCCAGTTTAAATATTTTTCTTCTTATTTGCTATCGTTTCCTTTATTGCAGTTTATTGGTGCAGTTGAAACCTTACAAAGATTTAGATGTCAATGACCATATAAAAGAATTTGCAGCAAAACTGTCTTTGATACCCAGTCCTCCTCCAGGACCACTCCACTTGGTAAATACTGAGAATTCTATGTTTGATCTTGCCGTATGGTAGTTTCCTGAATGGATTTATGTGAAACAAGAAACTTCAAAAACTTACCTTTTGAGTTGATTTTAATAATTCCCCAAGCATGCAGTCCAGAAAACACAAACCTGCACACCTCTTATTCAAATGCAAGTCATTGTTACCAGCAAAGTCAAATGGGGCGCTTGAATTCCAGTGAAGAAGTGTTGGGTCGGAAGCACATATTTAAGCTTTCTTTACCTTTTATCCTTCCCTCTACTTTCCCTCCCACCAAGCCATTTTCACAGAAATGAACCTGGCAGTTTGAGAAACAGCTGAGGTGGGAGAGTTGCAAGGAAAATAGTAGTACATGTTGGAAGGGTTTAGAACTCCTGTTAAAACCACTGCAAAGGACCCTAGCTGCTCTTTTACTTCTGTTGAGTGTTAACCTGTTTTTGAAAATGCAGACCTGTTCCTGTCCTGTATACAGTGGTGCCTGGCAAGATGAATTTAATTAGTTCCGTGGTTAATGTTTTCTTGCGAAAAATTCGTCTTGCGAAATGCGTTTTCCCATAGGAATGCATTGAAATCTAATTAATGCGTTCCTATGGGCAAAAAAAGTTAGAACAAAGTCACATTTGGTTTACAAATGGTTTATTAAGTGCTCTTTAAAGCCATACATATTGTGCAGACGATTTCAAAAATTTCAATCAGAAAACTTAACTTTTTAAACCTCATAGAAAAACATTTAAAAATCAGCAACCATGAGGCAGGAACATCTGCCTTCACTGAAACTGAACAGAAACAGCCACTAACAGTCCTTGGATTGTGCAAAACTTTTTAGAAAGTGCATTTTCAAGACATGTAAACATACAGAAACCAACAGTACAGAAACTTTTTACATTTCACATTTTAAAGTGAACAAGTGAGGCTGAAGTCTTCTAATAGAAAACATTCATCTTGCGAAGCACGGCCATAGGAACATTCATCTTGAGAGTCATCAACCCTATTGCCAAAACCATTCATCTTGCGAGTTTTTTGTCCCGCGAGGCATTCGTCTTGCGAGGCACCACTCTATTTCTCTCCTTCCTTTCCCTGTTTTCTAGGACCTCTTCCTGTTCTGCTTTTCCACTTCAGCCTCTCTGTGCCTGCCCATCGGTCAAACTGATGTTTAACTTCCTTCCAAGATGGTAAACTGCAGAATGTACAATCTCTTTATAAAAGATGACATTGCTCATGGAATGTATCCAGAAGGTTTTGTTCTCAGTGCAGGGTATTGGGGGATACATGCAGTCCTCATACTTTCTCTTTGTCAGGAGCTTGTCCTAGGGACTGGTTGAGCGTTTGTCAGCTGGTGCCTTACCACAAGAGGTTCCAGGGGACTTATCTTGACATTAGAGTGCAGGACAGTTCTGTATAGTCCTCTCTTGGACTAGTCTGCATGAGGACATATCACTGAGTGAGATAATTGATGTAAGTTTTCTGTTTGCATTATACCATTGAACTTCTATAGCAACTGCTTATAATGATATTTCTGTAGCAAAGAGTCACACATTCATGTTCTATGTAATTCTATCATTGGCATTCATTGTCTTAGTTGATCAGGTCAGTAGTAAAACTGTTAATATCTCTGGAATTAGTAAAAATGTCTTGATAAAAAATGTAATGTATTAGAATAGATTATCTAGTATTCTTACTTGGTCCCTATTGGGATATTCAGGATCTGGGAATATGTTTTAGAAATTTGCCCTCTGCTTGGGCATCTCGCAGCTGCATCATCTTTTCTGTGGGGAAGATGATTTTCTGAAGAAGAAAAACATCTTTTCCATAATTAAAAAGTTAAAAATAAGATAAGCTCTTTTGCCCTCTAGAACTATTGTCAGGCAAAGATTTATTTTTTTAATTTTTGCACTTCTGGACCACCCGTCTGGCCAAATAGTCACTTTGAGTGATGCACAACAATACAGTAAAACAGTAAACCAGCCAGTATGAAATGTGGTGTTAAGTTTGAATGTTCCAGAATTTGACCAGATGCCCTCGTTTAATGAAACCAAACTGCTGAGGGCATTATATCTTACCCAGTTTTTGACCTGTTTGCATTATCCCCCATTTTATATAGTTGTTCCTTGAGGAAAATGACTGAGGAATTCAAAAGCTCATCTTACTTGTGACTTTCTAGCAGACCAGTGGAAGTGATCTCAGACTGGATTGCTATGGATGGATCACATGGCTTTTTTAAAAATTGGTATTTTCTGAAGAACAAAATTTTCTTTAGTCATGGAGGCATTCCTGAGCCATGAAACATTGATGTTCTGAATCATGGGGGGGGGGACCTCCTCAAAGAGAAAAAGTGCTTATTTTTTTAAAAAGTTACTCCCCACATGAAGAGAGTAATAGAAATGTACAATCAGAAGGTAGAGGAACACACACTCTTCATATATTTACCCTACCATGATTTTGTATGTCTGAACAGGGCTATTGATAATGTCAGATCTGAGAGAAAGTTTTATTTACAACCAGTAGCTGAAATTCTGTTGCCATAATTTATGCTGCTTAAGGGTGATGATGTCATCAGCAGTTGTGAATTGTTTTTTTAAATTAAGCATTTCTGACTGCTCTCCCAAAGTTCCTAAGGCTCCTAGATAATTTATCTCATTGCTGGGAACCTGCAGAAGCTGTGGTACAGGAAGAAGAACTGTTTAATGACCAAAACTCTGGACTCTCCAGGGGCAGGTTTTGATAATTATAGCCTTCCCCCTACCACCCTATAGCTTCCACAGGTTCCCAATGATGAAAGAGATGATCCAGCAGCTTCTGGAAAGCACTTGGAAGGGTGTCACCTCTGGAAAATCATAGTTGCCGACGACACCATCAGCCTAATCCAGTGTAAGATACAGCAATAGAATTTCAGTCAATGTCTCAGCTAAAGAAATGCTAAAGTTTGTAAGTAAATGTGATAATGTAGCATGTGGTACTTAAGCTGATTTGTGTCTCCTTTGCATATAAAATCATTTTTCTGTGTTCTTGGGAGTCCTAGGCTTAAGAAGTGAATGGTCACTTTTTGTTACAGTTTAATGACGTGATCTATAAAAACCCAAACAAACTTAACTATCGTATTTCTGTTGTACTAGGTATTTAATATGAAGCCTATCCAAGTGATATTTCCATCTCAGGAAGATCCTGATAGTCCAATTGTTGATTTGGATCTACACCTTCCCTTCCTTTGTTTTAAACCAGAGCAGGTTTTACAGGTATGGCATGACTTGTTCCAAGCAGGTAGAATCTTATCTCGTTTGTTGTTTGTAAAATTGCAGATCATTACTTCAGCCTATTCATTGTTTTCAAAGTTTGGAATGAGCTCCCTGAAGGATCTGGACATTGAGAGTGAGGGAACACCCACATGCATTAAGGAGAGGTACCGGATGCTGTGAATCTGCTTTTATCTTTCTACTCTGCATGTTGCTAGTGTGTCAATAAAGTTCTTCTACTGCTACCATCCGGCTGCCTTATCAGTTCTCCCTTCTCCTTCTGCCTTCTGTGTTATGAAGCATGCCACTCCTGACTTCCTGAAACGGTTGAACTGCTTCCTTGTTGGGCTTTACTGTGGGGGCACTTCCTTTCCCAGCAGTGGGAGGAAATGGCCAGAAGAAGAGGTCACAGGTGAGTCACCTGAGAAAGAAAGAATTTTCATGCAGTTGACGAGGACATCCTAAAGCTGTCACAAAGAATCCCACTGCGAGGCTTGCACTGGCCATCTCCTGAGTGTGGCAAGTCCAGTTTGCTTCTTCTGTTTGCTCTGATTAGTTCCTTGTCCTCTTTCTCAATAACCACTTTTGCTTCAATTTTTAAACTTCCCCTCTGTTTCTATTTTTTTAAGAAATGGCTCCCTTTTCATTTTTCTTCCCCTTCCTTTCTTTCCGCTCTTGGTGAACATGATTCTCAGCAGGGTCCCAGTTTTTCTGCAGACTCTTTTAGTGCTGCTGGCAACCCTGTCATGGAAGCCACCAGGACAGCCGCTCCTGTCTTTTTGGAAGGTGGTAGTTTTCTGAATTCTGGCTTCTAACAATTAGTCAGCAGTATTCAGAATGAATAACACCTAACATTCACGTTTCTACCTCTCTCTGTCCTCTCTCTGTGGAGTGTTGGGAGTTCCAGGAGGAGACTGCCAAGAAGGGGCGAGTAAACATGGGAGAGGGCCCTTCCTCCATCACAGGTAGTGAGGCATCCCACCCTGAATTTTGGCCTTCGACATAATAAATTACTTTCTTGTTTAAAGGCATATAAAATTATGCATGGTGTGGACAAAGTACAAAGAGCTAAATTTGCTCTTCTGATATGAGAACTGGGCTTATTAGGTACGTTGAATGGCGTGTGTTCAAAAAAGACAAAAGCAACATAGTACATGATTAAACTGCAGAGTTCACTTCTGTAAATTATGGTAAAGGACACCAGTTTTGGTGACAAAGGTTCAAATTGGTGGAGAACGAGAGGGCCTTCTCTATGGCTGCTCCCAGACTTTGGAACTCCCTCCTGCAGGAGGCTAGGCTTTTGTTAGCTTTAATATTGTGTCTTTAAATCTATAAGTTGCCTTGGGTCCTTTTAAGTAGAATGGTGGTCAGTAGGAAGGAAGGAGCTGATGGTGGGTTGAATGAATGAATGAATGAATGAATAAACAAATAAATAAATAAATAAGAATAAAGGTATCAGTTGCTAACAACAACAAAGGGTCTGTGCTAAATCTGGAATAGGGTCCAGTGGCTTCTGAACGAAGAGCTTGTTGCCGGGGAACAACACTGGGAGAGGGCAGTTGCTTAGTATTCCAGATGGGCCTTGGTCTGATCCAACATGACTCTTCTCATATTTTAATCATCACCAACAATGGGCTGAAGTGTGCTTCATTCTCTCAACAGGACAAGGGGATGGACATGGCAGCAATAGAATAACTGGATAGTGGCTGTAGCATATTTGCTGACAGTAATCTGACACCTCTCCTCCTCTCTCTGTAAAATCTGACCCCTGTCCCCCATGTTCCTTTTCATGTTTGGGTCATTTTCAGCAGGTGGGAACTGTGAATTGACAACAATCCGTATGAACTTTAAAAGAGTTCTCTGCACATATATAGTTGAAATGTGGCCTGACTTTCCCATAACATCCAACTGCATGATGAACTCTTTGAAATAGGTGTTATTTTTAGTGTTAGGAAGAGTCATTATAATAGTTTAAAAGAAACCACTTGTCAAGAGACTGGGAAAATGAGGGATCATTGTTTCTGTTGTTTTTCTGGAAAATTAGACCTTGTAGTTTGTGCATAAGAGGAGCCGACTGTGTGTGTGTGTGGGATATCTACTGGTAACTGATAAGCAGCAAACACTTGCATCCTATCTCTATGAGAAATGAAACTGCAAGGCCAGACTGAGTTTACTCTTTGATACAGAGTTAATTAGGAGAATGATTTCGGCTGAAATGAGGGAAGGGGGAAGAACTTACTCTCTTTTTCATGAACCTTCAGGGAAACTCGATGTCTGATTAGCAGATCTTCTGGAAGAGTCTGGAAACTGGAACGTTGGGTATAAAATTGGGGAGAGAAGTTATTTAGTTTAGCCTAATTACCTCTTAGAAGAACTTTATGCTCATTTGCTGCTTTACTACATGACTTGGATTTCATATGTGCTCTGAGGCTATGCTGAAGCTTTGTCAAGATGTAAGTATTAGCATAGGTTAGCTAGCTTTCTTATTTTCTTGTGGGATTGTTCTGAAATTGTTCTTGCCTCAACCTTTTGATTGCTTATTTTGCTCCTCCAGCCTTTTTGACTATTCTGTAAATGTTGAAAATGTTTTGACGTTTTTCTCCTTGTGCTTTTTCATTACCTTTAATAAAATATATCAGAATATTTTACCTTCCTGGGTTTTACCCATACCAGGACAATCAAGGTAGTTTGGCTGAGGGCTTAGTGTGGACATCTTTGACCTGGAGTAAACATTGACACCATTTACCAGTGATAAATGTTGTTGCTTAATCATATGATATAATCTGACACAGTTCAGTGCTTATCACCAAAACTCTTGTGGTTCTGAAGTTGAATTGAGGGAACACGTTCTGGCAACTGGATTTTAATGCAGAAGTTTGTCTTCTGAAAGGTTTGTTTTCAAATAAAAGCTGATGCAAGTCTAAAACAGAATCATTGACTGTTACATGGAAATGTGCAAAGCCTTTTAAAATCTTGGGCAAAGGTAATCCAGACCACGCAGGGGCCTTTTCATCTCAAAGATGGGTAAGCTTTTGTACAACTTATCCATGTTTGAATGCTGGGCTGATGCTCTTGGCCTGAAAATCTGTTCTCTTGGAGTGAAAATTTGTTCTTCTTTGATGCAGCAGCCTCACCGGAGGCCAAGTGCTTGTGGTAACTATTGAGGATGCTAGGTCAGCAGATTATTGCGTAGGGAAGTCCATTGTTTCCATATGAATGAGATGGTGCTGATTTTTTTTCAAGTGAGCCAACAGAACAGTAAAACACTAGATGCCCTTGTGTTCTATATTTCCCTGTACCTTGACCAATTTTTCTCTCTCTTCCCAGATAATAACTTGCATTTTGACTGAGCGGAAGATTGTTTTCTTCTCTTCTGATTGGGCGTTGCTAACACTAATATCCGAATGCTTCATGCTGTACGTGCATCCTATTCAGTGGCAACATACTTTTGTGCCAATTCTGTCTCGTCAGATGTTGGATTTTGTAATGGCACCGACGTCTTTCCTCATGGGGTGCCACGTGGATCACTTCGATGAAGTTTGCAAGGTCTGTTGCCAATCATTTCCGGATTCCCTTCACTCATGTTTTGTCTTCACGTTGATATTTATGGGGACTGCAGTGAAATGTATATTTCTTTATGCTTCCTGATGCAAATTGCTTTAGAAATGAGTGGTGTATGGGTTGGAGATTACTACAACAGGCGTTAGCCTAAAAGGACATTGAGCTCCAAGGATTTGGTGTCCCCCCCCCTTTTTGTGCCCCAGCTGAAGCCTCCTTACCCCCCGAATGGTATCTATTTTATATTCAGATTCTGTACGAAAAGATTTCTCTCTTTTAATTAATATCCTCTATTGCCTCTGGTATTATATAGCTTTTGTGATGTGGGTCTAATGCTTTCTTATTGTTGACAGCTAAATATCTTCTAAGATACATGTAAAATTAAATATTAAGGAAAGTTTGGTTTGGAACAATCAAAAGGTTTTTATTCAGATACCATAGGCAAATGAGAAGAGAAAGGTAGATTCTAGGATATATCAAATAAAGGGTAAAATTATACAAATGCAGGAGCAGGTGATACGTTTATTAGACCACTAAAAAACCAACCAAACAAGCCGTCTGTTGTTGCAAAGTTATTGTAACATATAAAAATATTAATTTATATTCAAATGCAAAATAACTGTTTTTCACAGATTCTTTGAACAGCACGCTCTCAATAAAATTCCTCTCCATCACAATATTCTCTCATTAATTCTTTCTCTGACTCTGATTACCCTCTATTGGACTCTTCAGCAGTCCCTGACTGCCCTGGCTCTCAAAACAGGCTCTCACTCAGCTGCCAGCTCCCGACACAGTCCAGTCACATCAGCCAACCAACATTTAGCTTTGCATTCAGCCTTCTACTGTCCATGTGTCAGTCATACTAACGAGTAGCACTGAGCCTATGCATACGTGCTGTTAAAGCACCTAGAGCCATTCCTCATGCAAACCTGCCACCAATTATATTTACAAAGATACTTAGACTTTTGGCTAGCATGCGCAAAATCACAACATTTAGCAACCTTGTTTAAGCACGAGGCAGGAGATAATTTCCTCAATTCTGGCAGTGAGAAGAGAACCATAACAAATAACAGTTGGTTGCCCTTCCTTGATGCTATTCTGCTGCCTAAGGCTGGTGACCTTGCTTGCGCTGGGTGACTTATCTTGAGAGTCAGACTTGTGCTGGCCTGGGTTCTAAGCTTCTTTAGGAACGACGCTGCAAACACTGGCAGATTTTGCAAAAATAATGCTTGTTCATCCTCCAGATGAGCCTATGTGCAATCATTTCCTGGTTGTACTGCAGGATGTGGCTGTCATCTCTGGAAGCAGCCCCTTATCAAACTTGAGGGCAGGATCTAAAAAAAAGGTGGTTTTGTGCCACTTTCTTTAGAAATAAAAGTGTTGTGTACACTGCTTTGGATTCAGACTACTTAAATGAGTGTGATGAAAAGGTTTTGAAGTCTGGTCTCTTCTTATTTTATCCAGAGATAAAATGCACTAATAGATGAACATATATTAAAAATTGTTGTGGGTAAAACATGTATTGTGATTGGGTTCATTGGTTCATTAAAGATCTGAAGCAGCTCCTCCTTTTTGGCAAGAAATGATGACTGAGTCTCTTTTTGAACGTTAACAGATTTATTTAGTTTAACCTTAGGTGAGTCTACAACAACTTATGTTGGTTCAAAACAATTAAGATCTGGTAACTGTCCAAATGATGGACATACCGTGACGATGATAACTCTGTCTAGAAATTGACCAGATACATTGGGGGGCTGGCCCAAAACGTTCCTGGTCGGTGGGCTTCCTCAGCGGAGCACTCCGGACCACGCATATTGTCCCACAACAAGGGTGTCTGGCCCAGTCTCCCTCCGGCGGTGGATGGTTCAAGGAAGGGTCCAGCCGGATCACCTTCCTCGAGTGACCTTGTCCCCGTGGAAAGACCACAACCATCCATTCTAGAGCTTCTGCCGATGTCCCCTTTTCTTTAGACTTGTCCGGGTCAGGTAGCAACCCTCCTACCTTCAAATTAGGGAAGTCCTCGAACAAACCACACATTCTATCATATTCTTATTCTCTTTTCTCCCCCTCTTTTCCCTTCCCTTTCTTCTTTCTCTCTCCTCTTGGTACACTGAACTGTCTCCTCCTATTTTGTTCCCCTATATCCTCCTCCCACATGGGCAAAATTAATTCCTCCTCCCCTTCTCCCTCTCTCTCTTCCACTAGACAGACTTCAATCTTCTCTTTCCCCTTTGATTCCCTTCTTTTCCCTTCCTCCACACTCAACTCCTCCCTTTCTATTCTCTCCTTCTATATCTCTCTCCCGCTCAGATGTCTCTAGCTTAGGGGTCGGCTCACTCTGTTCGTTCTCCTTTGGGCCTACTGCTCCTTCACATGCATGTTTCAATAAAGTTGTAGTATGTATGTTTCAATAAAGTTGTAGTATGAATGCTAGGTTTCTAAATCTACATATATTTTACAAATAATGATACACAAGATGCATAATTTATAGTTTAAATCATTTCCGTTGTGAGAACTGGCATGAGTAAATGCTTCTCGTGGCGCAGTGGTTAAAACCGCTGTACTGCAGCAAAAACTGTGCTCACGACCTGGGGTTCAATCCCAGGTAGCGGCTCAAGGTTGACTCAGCCTTCTATCCTTCCGAGGTTGGTAAAATGAGTACCCAGCTTGCTGGGGATGGGGGCCAATGTGTAGCCTGCATAATTAACTTGTAAACTGCCCAGAGAGTGCTTGAAGTGCTATGGGGCGGTATATAAGGGGGGGGGGCTTTGAAATACTACAGTCTTAAATTATTAACTTCTTTGTTTCTTAACATCTTTGTTTCTTAAATGAAAAGGAGGCAGATGATTTAATTCTAATTAACATTGACAATGGGGACATTGCACAATCTAAGTCCTCTGAAGAGGAGACTGAAATTCCAGACATCCCACTAGAAGCAGGAAGAAAGTTTATAACAAGGTAAGAGGAATGGACGTAAATGAACATTGAAATGGTTAAGCATATGTTGCTTTCTTCAGGAAATGAAATATTAGCCTTGAACAGAACAAAAGAGATTATATCTGCTTAAATTTGTGTGTATTACATAGTAATGTAATTTAACTTTCTTTTCATTCCACTTATGCAATGAGTTAGCTCCAAAGGGCTGTTTATCTTAAAGACCATGGCTATCCTGCTGCATCTTCGATTTTGCAGCCCGGAGCATCCCCTGAAAACCTTGTTTTTTCCTTCTTTTTCTTCCTAAAGAGCTGAAAATCTTTCCCTGCACTATGATCTAGAACTCTGCCATCTCAGTTCCTGCATAGACCTTGGTGAAGTACAGTTGCATAGAAGGAACTGGCAGCGGAGGCTGAATGCAGAAATTCAGCAGATTACTCTTCAGTTAATAGTCAATATCTTCAGGTAAGTCAAGAGGGATTTCTTGTTTAATGCACAATCCTGGATATCAGTAGCACTTGCTTTATGCTTTTAAGATTATTTTCTTGTCTTCTGTACCAAAGCTGAGTCTGGGTATTAGTAAAAGAATAAGTGAGGCTTTGAATCTGATGTTCACTGAATGTTAAAATGGCCCCGCTTCAGAGCAGCTACGCTTATGAGCTCCTGGGGCTTCCATATGAGTGAGGAGTCCATCATCATCACTGCACAAGAGTGCAGTGTTGCTGTTGTGCAGCAGAGCACACCAGCATTCTACAAAGCAATTCTAAGAATGGGGACAGCCCAAACAAAAAAAATTCAACTTGTAATTTTCAGACTTTGAGACTGGACTTCAGATTGGCACCAAGTTTGACACATGAGCAAAAGGTTTTCAGGGTTTTCAAGTTACGATTTGCTAAAAACTGGTGCCTTCCCTTCAGAACATGGCCAAAGAGCCCGAAAATCCCACAACAACCATTAGATTCCAGCCGTGAAAGCCTTTGCAAATACAGTACATTGCTCCTTTCCCCCTGAAGAAACAAGCAACCTTTATATGCTCCCAGATTAAAAATAGCTCACACAAATTGAAAATATCTTGAAAGAGAATAGTTGGTCTCACCTTTTTTTAAATTTGGAAAGAATCCAGGCTGCGGAGACTAAAATACTGAGCCTTTTCAAAAGCATGAAGCAGTCAGCTTTGCTATAAATTGAACACATGTTGAACAGGCTCACCACCAAGAGCATGCAAGGGTAAAAATATTTTAAAAGATATTAAAAAGAGAATAGAGTACAAATCTGCCAAAGCTCACTCATTTAAGTTGTGAAATTATGTTTTTTTGCTTTGTGCTCGGGATGGTCTTACTCAGTATTAGCAGAGCTTTGGTGCCTATATCCTGTTATAAATTCAACCGTTCTACCCATCTTGTCACTATACAATTGTCTGATAATTAAGGAAAAAAACTCCAAATATGTAATGTGCTCTCAGGTCACGTCTCTTGTGCAGTGACTATATGAGTGAATCTGGAAGTTGCGTCGTTATGGCAACTGGACTTCTTTCTTATTAGGTTGAAATGTTTCACTACTCATCCAAGTAATTTCTTCAGTCTGAGGAGAGTTGGTATATCAGGGGTCTCCTGCCAACTCCCGCCAAACTGAGGAAGTTATTTGGATGAGTAGCGAAACGTTTCAACCTAACAAGAAAGAAGTCCAGTTGCCATGATGACTCATCTTCCGGATAACCTCACCTGGATGACTGAGAATCTTCAGAGATAGATGAGTGAATGGCCTCCAGAAGGTCCTTATCGTTAACACCTCTGCTCAGATCTTACAAACCAACGGAATCTCATGTTAGTTTGTTCTCTCTTCTGTGCCCCCCTTTCTTAGTAATATTGACCTTTCCAGAGGTTCTGCTCAGGTCTTCCAAACTAGCTATGGCTTCCTTTGTTAAGACAATCTGCCTCGCATTAGGTCTTCCTCTCTTGCTACTCCTTCCCCAAAACTTCCTGGCAATATTATATTTTCTGGTCGATTCTGTATTCTCATTATTAAATGCATGGTAGGATAGTTTCACTTTACTCATTTTTACTCTAGTGAGAATTCATGCTTGACTTGATTGAGCACCCTCCTCCATAGTTTCACTTTACTCATTTTTACTCTAGTGTGAATTCATGGTTGACTTGATTGAGCACCCTCCCCTATTTTTTCCTTTCAGACTGTCTTTGGTATGTGTAAGGTTCTTGCTCCACATCCCATTTCAAAAGTATTGAATTACAAGCCATTTTGAGACATTCCTATTAGGGAATGCTCACCCCACGTTCAGGGAGAGCAGTCTAAACCCCTTCATTGTCTTTAATCCGTGGAGGCTGATGAGTCCATATGACTTGGAAACCTGATTTTCCAGTGTTTCCATTCCCATGGAGAATCCCACGGATAGTGAGGGCTTCTCTGTTCATGCTCCCTGCTCTGCATGGGAACAAGAGTCCTCCTGCTGAATGTGGATACAGTATGAATGCATCTGCTTTCCACACTTGTAAAATACAAACACTGCATTTTTAAATACAGGAACGCCAAGGACTTTTCCTGTAGTACTTGCCTTTCATTGTAGCTAATTGATGTTGCTTTTCAAATTAGGTTTATAGTTGTAGTCGTTAAAATGATCAGAATCATGTTGCTTATGTTGTTTACTGGATTGCAAAGAGTACAAACCTATCCATTTTGAAGGAAATCAACCCTGAGTGCTCACTGGAAGGACAAATCCTGAAGCTGAGGCTCCAATACTTCGGCCATCTCCTGAGAAGAGAAGACTCCCTGGAAAAGACCTTGATGTTGGGAAATAGTGAAGGCAAGAGGAGAAGGAGATGACAGAGGACAAGATGGTTGGACAGCGTCATTGAAATGACCAACATGACTTTGACCAAATTCCCAGAGGAGTGGAAGACAGGAGAGGGCCCGGCGTGCTCTGGTCCACGGGGTCACAAAGAGTCAGACATGACTTAACGACTAAACAACAACAACATGTTGTTTACATTTATGCCATTTGTTTTGGTACTTGATACTGATACGACATGGGGCTTCCCTGCTGAACTGTGCCGACCCATGTGGGAAAAGACTGTTGCGTGAAATTTCTGGAAGAGGGTTTTGATTGGAGTTCAGTCTGTTGTATGCATGTTTCCTACCCCAATGAAAAATTATATTTATGATTTTTTTCACCTTGCTTTAATCTTTTACCAATAGGGAGGTGAAAGACCATTTGAATTATGAGCACAGAGTATTTAATAGTGAAGAATTCATGAAAACAAGAGCAATAGGTGATCAGCTGTTTTACAGAAAGGTAAATCTTCAGAATTTATTTAAGTCATTTCCCCCGGTTTTACAGTGACAACTGGCTTTTAAAGAAGAATATTTTGGATTTGATCTGTAGCTTCCTTTAACTTACTTCCTATATAAAGGGGAAAGTCTAGGCATTTGTTAGTTTCTCTTAAGACAGTTGCTGTTAGATAGCTTAGGTTGTTGGTTAGACTATATTTTGGCTGGTATTTATTATTACATTTGTGTAATTACTTGACATATTTGTTAAATTGCCATCTGACAATGGGTGAAATCTCTCTGGTGAAAGTTCTGTGACCTAAAGCTGAGATTAGGAATAATGCTTAGAAGAATTGAAGGCAGAAGGATGAGAGGAGGACTGAACATGAAATAGATAAAGGAAGCCACGGGTTTGAGTTTGCAAGACCAGAGCAGGGCTGTTAATGACAGAACCTTTTGGAGGTCATTAATTCACAGCATTGCCATAAGTTGGAAGCAAATTGGCAGTACACAACAAAATATGTGTTACAGCATACCTATATAAATCTCAGCATTCTTCTTAATAATTGCATTTTAACAATTAAAGAGTGATGTTTGTATTACATGTACCTACAAATTCTTCTATGTGGTCTCAGTGAATCATCCCCATGGGCCCCTCTGTCATTCTAGAGAGCTTTATTCCTCTCTTCTTTCATGTTCTGCGTCTCCCAAGGGTCGTCCTCTCAGTTCCCTCTAACTTCTGCCAGGGCAGCTTCCTCAGAATGTCTGGAGTTTCATCGAAAAGTATTGCTTACCTGTATTTTCTCTCCAATTCTTACTTTCCCATTTAAAAAGTTGTTATATTTTTTTGAAAAAGTCCTCTTTAAAAATATATTTGTCCACAGTTGTGTTCATCAACTGAAGGGCTCAACTTCTTCAGAACTAAGATTCATTGGTTAAGAGAGTTTTGAGAGGGTTAAACAATATTTATCGAGACACAAGATCTTTGACACATCAGTTGTCTTTGTCTTAGTGTTAAACCAACAAACAAGCTCCCCATTTGATTGAACCAATGGCCACAGCAAACTTAAGTCTACTATTGTGTAAGACTGTGCATAGCATAGCTGTAACCTCAGTGAGGAGGGCAAGTGAGTTCTCAGCTTTAAACTGTGGTAAGCCCTATCTCCAGTTCCATAAAGACAAAGTCGGCTTTATTTGCTGACATTTCAGTTTTACCTAAGGTACTTACCCATTTTCATGCATGTCAACCACTAGTGTTACCAACTTTCAAAATCCAACATCCAGTCTGGAAAAAAAACTCTTCACACTTTAGATGTGAGGCTTGCTTTAATTTTCTACTGTATATAAATAGAACAAGTTCAGTTTATAAAACCAAGCAGACTATTTGTTTGCTATCAAGGGAAAAGAAGAAAGCAGCTGTCCTCACAGAGAATTTCCAAATGGATTGTGAAGGTAACTTCACTCTCTTATACAGTACACTTGCAAATTGCCCGTTGCCAGATACTTTAAAAGGGCCTTCCACACGAGCCGCCTTTTTGAAGGGAGTCCATCTGCAGGACATTTGTGAGGCTGCAGTGTGGTGTCAACCCATGACTGTTGTGAACCATTATAGACTTGATGAAAGAGCAAAGACAGGCATCGTTTGCTTGAACAGTGTTGTCTACAACGTTAGCGTTGAGTGAGTAATCTTGGAAGCTACCCAAGTGTGTGATTCATGGAGATCATGAAGGAGGACAGGCTACTCGTGGGTAACTGGTTCTTCGAGTGGCCATCTGTGAATTTATTGCTTCTGCGATACAATCCTGGATAAATTACTATTGTGAGACCCATGTCCTTGGGCACATATGCCACCTAATGGCTGAACTTGGCCAGCAAACTGTATTTGATAGTGAAAGGAGAATTAATTAGGAAAGATTTGCAAAGCAGACTTTGATCTGCATGGGCTCCCACTTTATTTGTAAGTCTGTTTCAAAGTGTTGGTTGTTGCCCTCAAAGCCCTCAATGTTTTAGGAACATGGATAGTGGAAGAATACAGGAAGCTGTCACAAACAGAGTCAAAAGGGTGGTCTATTTAGTGCAAGTACTGAGCTACAGTGATGGTAAATCAGTTTGGTACGCCTTCCCTATAGAGATCCACCTGGCTCCGACACTTTTGTCTTTTTGGCACTGGGCAAAGACTTTTCTGTTTAGCCAGCATTTTAATTAAATACAGTAGTATTCTTTAGCTGGCTATATGAGCCGTAGTATTTATTAATTTATTTATTTACGCCTAGAGTGGTCGTATAGACCAGATAGGTGGGATATAAGTCAAATAAATAATAAAATAAGTAAATAATATTAATGTTGGTTTTGGTTCTCAGACCCAAAACTGTCCCATTCAGGAGAAACACATTCAGCCGTTATAGGTTCACAAGTCAGTGAAGATCATCTTCTCAGACATGTAGTCTCTGCTGATTCATTTCATAATAATAATAATTATATGCCGTCAAGTCAACTCCCAACTTTTGGCAAGGATTTCTTATGTATAGACGGCCCGAAAGTGGTTTGCCATTGCTTTCTTCTGGGGACACCCTGGGACTGTGCAGCTCACCCATGGCTACAGAGGCTGGCTTTTCTCCTGGGAAACACAGGAGGGAATTGAATTCTCGGTCTCTGGCTCCACAACCAGACACCCAGCTCACTGAGCTGTCCAGCCGGCATGCGGATTCATTTACTGTCCCTTATTTCTTGGTCTCATCTTGCTCTGGTTCGGTTGTTGTTTCAGCTATTTCTCACTTTCAGCAGAAGTTTCAATTATTGCTCACTTTCGGCAGATGTTTTGTATACGTATTAATTTATCTATTGAAAATGGGGTGTTGTGTCCTTTAAGTTGAAGCATGGCTATATGTCTTAAAACAATGAGTTCAATAAAAAAAGGCAGCTCCTGTTATTCTCTGTGCATGAGGATAATCCTGGTTTGGGTGGCAGACCACATGACTACCCCTAGGTAGACGTCCAGTTGTTTTTGGCCTTTTAAAAGTGCTTCAGAGCAGCAGTTAATGGGCAAAGCATTCTTTGTCAACGAGTGTTTAAAAATGCACATACTGGGTGTTAAGGTGGGGTTTTTGTGGAGGACCTTCCTCACATCCCCCTGAAAACAGTTTTACTGGAGACACACGGAGTTTCAGTACAGCTCTAATTTAAGTATGTGTAAGGACGTGCACAGTTTTAAGGGGACATTGTTCAGAAGTTGGATGCCAGTGAGCACCTGGGGCTTTGAATGTGTAAACATAAAATATTGTCTTACTGTTGTGTCTTGTAGGTGTTGGAGACCTATATGTTTCACTCCTTTCTTAAAGCCCGCCTTAACAGGAAGATGGATGCTTTTGCTCGCCTAGAGCTGAGCACTCAAACTGAAGAAGACAGGTAACGTGTTTCCACTATATATTTTTAATTCTGCTTGTATGAGATTGTATGGCAAATGACTTTTTATGCTTGCTGAGCACGTAACATCTTGATGATGTTTTGCAATAGAAGTACAAGCAATATGTATAATCAGTTTTGTGGGGAGAAAACAAAATTTGGTTTATATTATTGACTATGTTTTGCAAATTCTGGGCATCCAGGAGTTCTCTGAACAATAATTCGACACTTGGTCTTAGCGCTAAGATCTTAGCATTAGGAAAAAACACAATCTCTCAGGTTTCTATTGCTTATGACTGCAGAGAATTACTTTAAAAACATGAAAATAATGGGTTAGGAAAAGGCCCAAAGTTGTAGTGGGGCCTTTATATACAATGTATAAATGTAAAGCTACATAGGCTTTAGAAATCTCATGGAATGTTCACAAGCCAATGATGAAAAGATCTTGAAAAACTGAAGTCCCTTGAGGTTAAATGCATAAAAATACATTAAAATGTTGTGCTGGTTTGTTATTATACTTATACTATTTGATTATATTGTTTCATTTCTTTTCAGGAAACACCCTAAAGTGTTAAGAATACTCAAATATTAAGAAAACTTCTATTTTCTTTTCAAGTTATTAGCACACAATATATATCATTCCTAGTGTACTTCCAGATGTTTCCACTGATACTTTGCTATGGCTTCTGTCAATATCTGTGGAAGACCCAATGACACAAAAATAGTTCTACTTTCAGATTCATGAATTCTGATATTGTTTCATAGTAAATACTGTAAATTTAAGGGGTAGTTTTAGTGAGCTCATCATTACCCAAAATGGCCGCCGGGACACCCAAAATGGCTGCCAGAACATGGGGAAACATAAGAGAACGGTGAGTTTTGGGCCCATTTGGAACGCATTAAACTTCGTTCCAATGGGTTTCCCCGTTCCATTTAGCGATGTTTCCCCATAGCGAAGGTTAATCCGGAACGGATTAACCTCGCTATGCGGGGCACCACTGTATATATATTTAATTTTATAGATGTTAGAAAATGTGGCTGTTATAAAGGAGTACTTGCATCAAATAATCTCTTGATTTTAAGAGATTTGCTCTTTGCTCTTTAGGTTTGGTTCAATGCTTGATAGCCCCAGGAGACTGACCATGGAGAAAATGGTTTCAAAAGGATTTAATCCTCAGCATATGATCAGCAAGCGTATGGGAATGAGTATGCCTAATCTACAAGATATTGCGCCCAGAGGTGGTCCAACGAGGAGTTCGTCCCATCGAAGTATAAAGACTAAGCATGGTAAGCTGACTGCCATGATTGTTGTTCTACTATTTTTAGGTAGAATTTCATAAGGCGGCTTTCATAACTTGGGGGAGGAGAATTTGCCAGTGCCTTTTTCATGTCTGTACATTTCAAGGTTGGAGGAGAGGGAGAAGTAGCAGCTGTAGAAGTGACACTGTGGGGCCACATCCACAGTGAAGTTATCAAGTTACAGAAGAGGCTTTAGAGTAGAAGGTTGGTCCATTGATCTTCACTGTTAACAGTCTATTCACAAAAGAAAGTGCAAATACTACCCGAAACGTGCAATATCTCATTGTGAAAGGTACTTGGTCAAACCCCCCCCCCCCCCCCCCCCCCAGAAATGGGAAAGGCAGCCTGCTTCTTATTGTGTCTTTGGGAGGCTTTGAGTTAGTTGCTCATGACTAGGTTTCAGAAAGAATACACTTAGTAGGTGGTGAAAGACGTAAATGGAGGGGGAAGGATGTTTGTGCCGTTTCTTTGTTCCCCCAACTTGGAGCAAGCTGAACTCTTGTTGGATAAATAACTCTGTGGCTTGTGACATGTTTTTGTGAAACAGTACATACCCTGGTTTGTATTACACTTTGGTTGTTCTTTAAAAAGTCAGTTTTGTCGAATAATTTGGACTTCAAGGTATTCTTGAAGGCTTTCACAGCCGGGATCTGATGGTTGTTTTAGGTTTTTTGGGCTGTTAAGAAGAAAAGCCTCCAGAACATGGCCAAACAGTCCAAAAAACCTACAACAACCAATTTCAACTTCGGTTGCCTGCAGACACAAATTTTAGTACTTTAAAGCAGTGTTTCTTAACCTTTGTTACTCAGATGCTTTTGAACTGCAACTCCCAGAAACCCCAGTCAGGACAGCTGGTGGTGAAGGCTTCTGGGAGTTGCAGTCCAAAACTCCTGAGTAACCCAAGGTTAAGAACCAGTGCTTTAGAGCTCTTCATGAGGCTTTCAATTTTCATTTATTTATTTTTTTAAATTTTAGTCGTCACCTATATGAGGGTCTTGAGGGAATGTGTCATCGCACTGTCTCAAGGAGTTGCCCATGGAAGGCCAGATTCGGTGGCTTTCCCATTCTTTCTTGTGTTCATTATTTTATCAAGCTAGATTTGTAACCTTTCCTTGGTTGTGTTAAGGAATGGCAGTCCAACCCTAAAAGCTTGTTTACCCCTCTGCACCATCCTATTTCATTTGTCCTGCCTATTAGCAGTCAGTTTTTTTCAGAGGAAGAACTAGGAAGCAATAAAAGCAAGGAAAGTTCTTTGAAATCATGGTTCAGTAAGAGTAGAACTATAGCAAAAGGCCTTTTGGATGTTACTTATGAATGATTCTTTGTCTTCTTCTTTTCTAGTGATTAAACCAATGGCTAAGCCAGTGAGCACTTTCAAGATTCCCGAAATTCACTTTCCTCTATTGAACCAGTGTGTTCAATCCTACTATATGGATTTTGTGAACCATCTCAGCAGAGCGATAAATATTGTGTCTCCCGAAAACTCTGCACTTCTTGCAAGATATTTCTACCTCCGTGGACTTATTGCTCTGATGCAAGGAAAACTTCTCAATGCACTTTCAGACTTCCAGAATCTGTACAAGACAGACATAAGGATATTCCCTACTGACCTTGTGAGGAAAATGGTGGAAACACTTGCCCCCGTTGATCGTTCCCAAGCAGAACAGAAGCCAGAACTGAAGAGGTTGATAAGCCAAGTGCTGGATAAGCAAAGGGAAATAACTAAAGTGGATGACCATGTGAAAAAATTTGAATTGCCCAAGACTCACATGCAGCTAGATGATTTTGTGAAGCGCATTCAAGAATCCGGCATTGTTAAAGATATAGACACTATACATCGGCTATTTGATGCTCTAACAGTAGGTAAGCAAGAATGGCTGGTTACATGGAGATGTTTTTATCAGAGTTTTTGATGCTTATGCTTCTTCTTTTTGCCTGAATATGGTTCTTTCTCTCTGTGTTAGTATCTATGGTGTATGTTTGTGTTGCTGGTAAATATGTCAGTAAACTAGTGTTGTCCAGTGAGAACATTGGTTTTTGATTCTGAGGCTTGACTTCAGATCCCTTTGTTGACTGTAATGAGTAGGTTTTAAGGTACCCAGGCTCAATGAGATGTGGAGGTGATCTTCTCACACAGTAACTGGACATTACAGATGATGGGCTCATTCAGTAATTTCACACATATGTGATATGTTTCTACTTGTTTCTCACCTCTGCAATGGAAAGAAAAGATGTTTCCTGTTGTATCACGTCTATGTAAAATAATGGTTGTAATATGGTAGCAATGGGCTCAAATTACAGTAAGCCAGATTTAGGAAAAACTTCTAAACTGTTAGAGCAGTACAGCAATGGAACTAATAACCTTGGGAGGTGGTCAGTGCTCCAGCGCTGGAGAATTTCAAGAGAAAATTGGACAGCCACCTGTCGGATCTGCTTTGATTTGGATTCCTGCACTGAACAGGGGGATGAACTTGATGGTCTTGATGGCTCCTTCTCACTCAATTATTCTGTGAGTCCATGGTTGTAATACTGATTACAAAATCAATTTTACATTAATAGTTGCCTTTAATGGCAGTGACCCTGATGTGTGTGTGTGTGTATTTATATTCATTTTTTTTTTAAAAAAAACATAGTTTATGAAAGTGGGATATCGTGTTTAAAACACCTTTTTGCCCAAAGTTCCCCACGTTTGGCACAGAGCAAGAGCAGATTGTGCCACATTTGGGGCTGATCTGAACTTTTAAAGCTATAATTTTTTATTTGGGCTTCCCTCATTTTTAGACAGATTTTACTTTCTTGGGCTACATGATCACTGCAGATGGTGATAGCAGCCACGAAAATCAAAGATGCCTGCTTCTTGGGAAGAAAGCGATGACAAACCTCAACAGCATCTTAAAAAGCAGAGACATCACCTTGCCGACAAAGATCCGCATAGTCAAAGCTATGGTTTTTCCAGTAGCGATGTATGGAAGTGAGAGCTGGACTATAAAGAAAGCAGACCGCCGAAGAATTGATGCCTTTGAATTGTGGTGCTGGAGGAGGCTCTTGAGAGTCTCCTGGACTGCAAGGAGAACAAACCTATCAGTTCTGAAGGAAATCAACCCTGAGTGCTCACTGGAAGGACAGATCCTGAAGCTGAGGCTCCAATACTTTGTCCACCTTATGAGAAGAGAAGACTCCCTGGAAAAGACCCTGATGTTGGGAAAGAGTGAAGGCAAGAGGAGAAGGGGACGACAGAGGACGAGGTGGTTGGACAGTGTCATCGAAGCTACCGACATGAATTTGACACACCTCTGGGAGGCAGTGGAAGACAGGAGTGCCTGGTGTGCTCTAGTCCATGGGGTCACGAAGAGTCGGACATGATTTAAGGGCTAAACAACAACAAAATTAAGGCTTTAATTTAAAGCTGTACTGACATAAATGTGCTATTGAAAGCAAACATGTTCTTGTGAACTGCCATGAATCTGCCGTTGCCAATATTCAATTGAATTGGATTGACTCAAGTATTCTTTGAAATCATAGGATAGCCTTGAAAGGCGATGCTAAACGGTTGGGCATGATGGGAGCAAGACAATTGGGGAGGCTTGGTTTCTCCCTGCCTTTGCCCTTCTCTGGTGAAGACATGAAGAAGACAGCAGAAGTGTTTGTAACCGATCATTTCTTCCATCTTTTTCTTTGGCTGGGTGACCACATTCTGTGCCACTCAATTTTGCTGGATTGCAGCTTATAATATGTAACCACAAAGCCATTTTTGCTGCATGGGGGGAAAAAAAAGGATGAGAATTCTTGAAAGGGAAAGAGATGAAGGGGCTGTTAACAGCAGGGGGAGCAGACTAAGATCTTTGGGAATGGGGTTCCTATGGAAGCAGAGACAGCGGATGGCATGGTGGGGGGGTCATGATGTTTGCTGTAAGAACTTGTGGTTTAAGCTGTTTTGCAATTAAGACTTTATCTAAAGTGGAGGATGTGGAATTTTATCTGTATAATGAAGACTTTGATACTACATGATGAGGTCAAAAATCCTGGCTGACATGGGGATGTCTCATTTTATATCATTCTTTTATTTTTCTTACCTGTTTGCCAAGTATTGCACTCCTGTGTTTGTATTTCTTTTGTTTTTCAGTTTTAAAACTTAACATCATTGTTCAATATCATGTTTAGAGTGTAAGAGCAATTGTGTGTTTCCCTGCTCCAGAAGGGCCCCTCTTGTGTTACCAGTCATGCAACTGGTTGCACAACCGGTATCATAAGCAATGTGAGATTGAATATGCTAAGGAAGCCTGCTTGCAAGGTGGGTGTGGGAAATGTTTTCCTTATGCAGTGGGATATTGGCTGTTAGTTTTAATGACAGATGTCCTTTAAAATAACGGCCACATGTGAAGGCTTGCCAAGCATTTTCTTTTCTTATGGTGTGGCTGGAAAAGTATGTTGGATGGCTTACTTTGACAAATTCCACTTAGCCTTTGTTTCTGCTCTAAAAACTGAAGGCTTGCCAAGCATTTTCTTTTCTTACGGTGTGGCTGGAAAAGTATGTTGGGTGGCTTACTGTGACAAATTCCACTTAGCCTTAGTTTCTGTTCTAAAAACAAAAAGAGAGGAAGAAAGAGAGAGAGAAAGAGAGAAAGAAAAAAGAGAGAAAGAAAAAGAAAGAGGAAGAAAGAGAGAGAAAGAAGAGAGAGAAGGAGAAAGAAGAAAGAAAGAAAGAGAGAAAGAAAGAAAGAAAGAAAGAAAGAAAGAAAGAAAGCTTGTTTTATATGTATTGAACTAGGAGGGGAACAGACCCATCCTTCCCATGAGGAACAGGAGGTAGTGTGTGTATGTATGTCTAACATTGGGTTATTTGTGAGTACAATTATTCTCCTTATTAAGTCATCTTACTGCATTTGATTATTTCAAGTGTTTTCTTCCAGTCTGGTATCTAAAGCTCTCGAAGCATTAATACTGAGAGGAAAGGGACTAACAGTTTAACATCCTTCACTTGCACATTTCTTACCATCTGAAAATTGAATTTAATTGAATCCTTAAATGGGAGTGGATAAGAAAAATGTGGCGACAAAATGTGGCTCCCTTCAAGTTGCTCGAAATGCAGACAGACCAATTCCAGTGATCTCCCCGACTCAAGTTCTGAAGAATTCTATTAATTTTTTCCTGCTCAGAAGTCATTCGTATTCACATGCCTTCTAGAGTTACGCTTCCAAGCTCATTCTGTGTACCTTTTCTCAGAGAGTCTTCCAGTCTTTTAAAATAAAGATTGTGTAGAAAAATACTAATGTAAAATACGGTTCTTTAATTTTAAGGACAACAGAAACAAATAGACCCGGAAACATTTAAAGACTTCTACAATTATTGGAAAGAAACAGAAGCGGAGGCTCAAGAAGTAAACCTGCCACCCAGTGTGATAGAACAGTTAGACAAAAATGAATGTGTCTACAAATTATCGAGCTCCGTTAAAACCAACAAAGGAGTTGGGAAAATAGCAATGACTCAAAAGCGCTTGTTCCTTTTGACTGAAGGAGGACGGCCTGGTTATGAAGAAATCACCACTTTTAGAGATATAGAAGTGAGTATGACAGAAATAGCTTGATTACGTCTTTGGAGATTTGAGATCTCGATTCTGGTCTACGGTTTTTGTAAAGATAAAAGTTGCTATCATGTTTGGGGCTCCCTACATGAGACATCTGCCAGGAGTGTCTTTAGGCAGTACGCTGATGATACTCAGCTCTACATCTCCTTTTTTCCAACAACAGTGGATGCTGTTTTGTTTCCTGAGTGCTGCCTGGGGGGGCTGTTCAGCAATGGATGCAGGTGAATGGACTGAGGTTGAATTCGGACAAGATGGAGATCCTTTGGGTGGATGCCCCAGGCATCAGTCATCTGGGAAACTCCCTTTCCTTTGGGGGGGTGTGACTCCACGAAGAGTGAGGTTCACATTTTGGGTATACATCTGGACCCAGCGCTCACCATGGAGATCCAGGTGTTGTCAGTGGTCCGTTCCGCACATTTCCACCTTTGGCAGATTGTCCAGTTGCATCCCTATCTTGATGTGGGGGCGCTCACCACTTTGGTCCATGCGCTCGCAGTCTCAAGATTAGACTACTGTAATGCGCTCTACGTGGGGCTGCCTTTGAGACTGACGTGGAAACTTCAGATGGTACAGAATGTGGTGGCCAGATTTCTTACAGGTGTGAAAAGGTACCAGCATGTTTCCCCCACGTTGGCTGCCTTGCATTGGCTGTCCGTTCGTTTCTGCATTGGTTTCAAAGTTCTTACAATGACATATAAAGCCCTAAATGGTTTAGGACCTCATTATCTGGCAGAGTGCCTTCTCCCACCCAGTTCTGCCAGAGTCACTCGTTCTAGCCAGGCCGGGCGGCTGAGGGGCCAAATGCTGAGCAAGGCGTTCTAGCCAGGCTGGGCGGCTGAGGGGCCAAATGCTGAGCGAGGCCCAGAAAGAAAGAATGAGGAGCAGGGCCTTCTCGGCATTGGCCCCTCGCCTTTGGAACAACTTGCCAGTGGAGATCCACCTGGCTCCCTCTCTGGGTGTTTTCAGGAAAAATACTGAAAACCTGGCTATTTGGGCAGGCTTTCCCTCCTGCTGTATCTTAATTTCCCATACTTTTGCCATCTTGGATCTGTAATATATGTTTTTAGTTTTATTGTTTTTAAATTTGTAAACCGCCCAAAGTAGACCTTTGGTCTAGATGGGCGGGATAGAAATCAATCAATCAATCAATCAATCAATCAATCAATCAATCAATCAATCAATCAATCAATCAATCAATCAATCAATCAATCAATCATTCCATTGTTCTG